GTGTGTGTGTGTGTGTGTAAGAGAGGTTTCCTGTGTGAGGTACTATATGTAATGTATGTAAAGATCCAACAGGTGGAAGCAGAAGAGCTTTAGTTTGTGGGCTGCTGGGGAGACGAAGATATACAGTAACGGGATTATTGGTCTGGTGTGAGGGGTGAAGGCTGGTTGCCTTTCTTAGATTGTATAGGAGGACAATTTTAGGAATTCCCTGAAATTGTCCTTTTTCATACATTTTTGTTGCAATTATTTGTGACACAACGGAAGAAATATTCCTCATTAATTAAATATAATTGAGTCATAATTTTTACCCTTGAGCAAAAACAGGTGCAGATATCTTCAATTTTCTTAATTAAATTTTTGGTTTGCACCCATTGGAGGGCTCCAGTCCAGCCCATGCAGTGGGCTCCAGTCTCCACACACACACACACACACTCTCTCTCTCTCTGACTGTGTGTGGAGTTACAGACCTGCTCTCTCACTCAGGAACTTTCAGCTTCATCTGAACCTCAAAGCTCATCTCATATAGTCTCGTCTGAAGATCAGATTTTGACTTTAATACAGAATCACAGAAATGTCTGTTGGAACTGCGTCACTCTGCTACAGTTTTCGGTTTTTCAGCATCTTCGTGTTTGTCTCTGCAGGTGAGATTAAACTGAACTGAGTTTCTCTCTGAGATAACAAGAATTTCATCTTTGTGTTTGTCTCTGCAGGTGATATTTACTGTTAGAAACTGAAGATGAGTGAAGCCTGTTTACATGTCAATTGTACTTTGACCATTAACCTAACAGTCCCCCTCAGTGTTTCACTGGTTCACTAAATCCAACATGACTAAAAATTAAAATGTCAAAGGAAATAAACAAAATATTTAAAGTCAATCATTATGATCATAATTGTACTTCGACCTTTAACCTCTCTGCTCTGTGTTGTTTCCTCTTTCAGACCAGAAAAACATCACAGCTGAGTCTGGACAGGACGCCACTCTGACATGTCGAGCTGCAAACAACAACATCAAATCTGTACATTGGAGCAGAGCTGACCTGACAGATAAATATGTGCTTTTGTATCAGGATGGTCAGTTTGATCCAGAAGATCAACATCCATCTTTCCAGAACCGGGTGGATCTGCAGGACAGACAGATGAAGGATGGAGACGTGTCTTTGATTCTGAAGAATGTGACGATTAATGATGCTGGAACATACGAGTGTCGTGTCTACATGGCAGAAAGACACTCATGGAATTATATCAACACCACCTACCTTCGTGTTGATCCTCCAGGTGAGTGAGTAGAGTTGAGTGTGTGTGTGTGTGTGATCAGAGGTGAAGCTGCTTCCTGGTTGTTAATGTTTGTTTCTAAAGATGTTGTTGATGAGACTTTGTAGAAAGCAGCTGGTCTGAGTGACGCGATCAGAGTGCAGTAGATAATGTCTGACAGCAGTTTGAAGAGGAAATGGATTCTGTTCTGTTCTCCACTCATCACCTACCTGACAGCTGACACCTCACACCTGTTTCTCACCTGCAGGTCAGACAGGAGGACTGACCGTCGGTCTGACAGTTTCTGCAGTACTTCTTCTTCTTCTTGTTGCTGTTGGTTTCCTGATCTACAGAGGATGTAAACTGAATCCTGCTAAACCTCATGAAGCAGAGGATCTTCAGCCTGAATGTGAGTCAGATGAAGAAACACAAAGAAAGATAAATAAATGATGGTGAACATCCAGCAGACGCTGTAGAAAGCTGGATGTTCAGAGTCTGATGTTATTTCTCTGATGATCATCATGTTCAGACTCAGACCAACAGTGTGTGTCTGTGCTGTCTGTCAGTGACTCTGAACTACAGTTTATTCATCTTCAGGCTGTTCATGAGATTTACTGACACAAAGTCAAACTGTGTTACAAACACACATGAATTTCTGAGCTCTGATCTCAGAGTCAGTGAGTGTTTTTGTGTTGGAGCTTCAGGTTCAGCTGTTTGTAAGAACTTGTTCTGTGAGAGATGAACAACACAGACCTGAGATCAGCTGCTACACACACTGAATGAAGTGACAACACAAACGCTGTGTGATGATCTGAGTGTAGATGAAGGTCTGTGGATTATAGACGATCAATAATCTGCCTGCTTGTGTTCAGGATCATCGATCAGTTACAAATGAACGAGCTTTGACTCAGTTTGGATGCAGAAATGTTGTCCAAGTCAAACTGAGCTCTTTCATGTTTCTATGAACTTTGTGTGTGTTGAATGCAGCAGACTGGAAGAAAAACAAAGTGTGTATAACAAACCTCTCTTTAACTGATGCTGCTTATTTTTACACTCAGTAGGTTTCATCATCTTTTCATTAAATACAGCTGAGAGTGTTTTACAGCTCACAGTGTTATGATTGTTATCAAACTGCAGATTTATGGAGCTGCACACTCAGATATTTCTGTCTGATCCTGATACTCTGATGTGTTATTGAACTTTTGTTACAGAACAAACATAAATAATGTTCAGCTTCATATTTACATGTGTTCAGCATACGTTACCATGGTGATTTAACCAGGTTGGTGAGAGAGACGACTCTGACTGTTTGACCGACACAGCTCACTAACACATTACTCTGGCTTCATATTTAAATTCTTCTGCACTTCACAGTCAAACCTACCAAACATCAACATGTTAACAAACTATGAACTGGAAGTGCTGAGTGTGGCATCAGGTTAGACTGAAGCTGAGTGTAGGAGGAGCAGCCGACAGCTGCACATGTGCAGCAGATGTCACACACACCAGTGTGACAGGAGTGTGAGAGAGATTAAAGAGAAAGAGACAACAGAACATGTTCAACTATGAAAACTCGACTTTAAAACATTTAAACAATTAAATTAAATCCAACATGACTAAAAACTCAAATGTCAAAGGAAATAAACAAAATATTTAAAGTCAATCATTCTGATCATGATTGTACTTTGACCTTTAACCTTTCTGCTCTGTGTTGTTTCCTCTTTCAGACAAAACCATCACAGCTGAGTCTGGACAGGACGTCACTCTGACATGTCGAGCTGTAAATAATGAGTCAGAGAAAATGAACCAGCAGCTTCATCAGGTTGATCCAACATACACTGAAACATCTCTCTCAGTCTGATCCTCTCTGAGTCTCAGTCACTCACTGTAAATGACCTCATCAATATTTTTCTTCATAAACTGGTTCATACGTGCATATTATTCTGTTATAGCTTGGACACAGCTAATGTTTTTATTTGGAAAGGTGTAGAACGACCAGGTGTCAAACATCAGTCGATGTAAACTACACAGCAGCACAAGCTCCAACGTACAGAGAGAAGGTTTGCTCAACGGTTAAGAAATGGGGAAAAGTTAGTAGGTGTAGTTCTAAGTTGCAAATAGTTCCCTAGCACCTGGTTGATGAGGGAACAAGGTTGGTATCAAAGTTTGTTGTGTAAATGTGTAGTTTGTTATTTCACAGAGCATAAAGCTGCTGACTGCTACTGAGTGTAACGGTTACGTTTTCACCCACTAGAGGGCGGTCACGCACCTCGGTCAATTTTTCATGTTTAGTCAGCTATGAAAAGGTTTACAAGATTCACTGTTATATGCTTTTTAAGGTCAAAGACAATTGTAATCGTAATTTTATCTCAGGGTATAGAAAAGGTAAGAGGCTAAATGTTAGAAGGGTTGAATAAATATACACGGCAAAAGCGCTCGATGTAGAAACTCAAGGGCCTTAAAGGTGTAATCATTTAAAGTAATGAATTCATTTATGATTAATAAATAAGGAAAAGGGTTAAAGGTTTGAGTTACCAATGGTAATTTTATTCTGTATATTTTGTAGCTTGTACGGTGTGATCACATTCAAGGCTGTTCAATAAAAGGAATGTGAACCATCAGTTTGGAGACCATCTTTTCAGCCTGGGATGCTGTGCTCATTTCTTCACTTTAAATTATTCCTTTTTTAATTTGTGTCATTGGCAGAGAAGATAAATTATGTGAAGTTCATCATGTCACTTGTCACCACAGATTTAAATGTAGGTTTGATATCTCTGTGTCTTTGTTATTAACACTGTGGATTTTTCTCATATACTGAGGTTTGAAACATTTCTGGACTTAGTGAAGTGTTTCTGTCTGTGTAAGAGACGTTGACTTGATAGTGTGGATTAAATGTTGGATAATATTGATGAATTTTGTCTGCATGTGTCGAGAATCAAGCTAACAGCTAACACACTGTTAATTTTACAGAAAGTGAAAAATAAATCAAATATTTGTGACATTTAGTTATTAAACAGTGAACATGATAAACTGAACCAGTACATGTAAAACATCCAGAGCAGCTCATGGGGCTCCAATTGTGGTCATCAATATTTTGTACTTGTAAATCAGACTGTGTAGTTGTGAAGTTTTCTAACCTTGGAAACCAAAATATTTGATAATGTTATGTTTGTGCATCTATAGATGAGCAAGCAAAAAACTACATGTAAACTCTACAAAGTTCCCTGCTTGTGTGTGAGTTTCAACGTACGAGTACGACTTTTGACCTGATTTTCCTTCCTTTCTACTGATTGGTCAGTGTCATGCCAATCAGAGAACAGATGGGTTTGGCTTATGTCGTGGTTTCGTGGTTTCGCTTTACCAAGCTTCAAGTCCTGGAAGGGTGATACATCTTAAAGATGGAGGATGGCGACAGTACTGCTTCAGTGCAGTGTGAGTCAAGGCCCTTTCACATTGGATGCACCATGATGCGCTCACTGCTAACTAGAGCAAAGGATCCAAAAGTTGTGCTTTGCTGCCACACTACGTGTACTAGATGTGCCTTCTGCTCCTTGTCATTTCAAAATGTCACGGTTCTGGGTCATGTTGACCCAGCTTTCTGTTTTTCATGCTTTGGTGTTTTTCTAGATTATGATTTATGATTTGATTAATCAGTGATACTGTTTTGATTATGATTATTATTTAGTAGGCTTTGGTCAGTGTTAAGTCTGTCTCTCTCTGTCTAGTCCGTGTCTTAGTAAAGTGTGTTTTGTTTCCTGTTTTACTTTGAAGGTTCTTGTTCCTGTCTGATGTCAGTGCTCCGGCTTTGCTCTCCCTGTCTCGTTAGGTCTTATTTCTCCCAGCTGTGTCTCCCTCCTGTGGCCCATTCCCTGATTACTCCCCGTGTATTTAAGCCCTGTGTTTTCCTGTACTCGGTGTCGCGTCGTTAATGTCTGTTCACCCTCGCTTCTGCTGTGTGTTCCATTTGCCAGCCTGCCAACCTGTCTAGTTATTCTGTTCACCCAGTTTAGTTAGTGTTTTTCCTGTTCAGTTTCATACCAGCAATAAAGCTGTGCTTTGAGTTACTTCTGCCTCCGTGAGTCCTGCGTTTTGGGTCCTCTCTCCCTGCCTGCCTACACACAGACGTGACACAAAACATATATCTCTCTGACTTTATGTCCTCTATGAGAGTTTGTGTTGTATTGTATTGATGTCTTTCATCATCATCATCATCATCATCACACAGACACAGATACCTGCTAATCAGTAACATCCAGATACAATCCCACAGTCTCACCAAAACTGGAGCTCAGACTTCCTGGCAGAAGGAGAGAGGAGCTGGAAAAAAGGTGGATCCTTTATGAGTCCTTTTACCTTCAGGTAGAAAAGGGGCGTGGCCACAGCAGGAATATACAGACCATGGAGGGAGGACTCCTGTGAGTGAGCTCTGATATCTGTCACTCTAATTTATGCTGTGAATGTATTTAAAAAGTGTCTCTAAATATGAAACATGTCATTATCTCTGTTACACCTGACATCATAAGATGCTGCTGTTTGTGGACTTTAAGAGAGACAGGTAAGCTCAAACAAAGAAAGATGTATTAATATAACATAAAACAGAACTTTGACCTTGCAAGGTTAATATGTGTGCACGCCATATAAACATTGGAAGGTGTGATGGAAAAATAAATACATTTAATAAAGAAACAATATTGAACAATAAGTAGAATATTTTAAAGTAGTGACTGTAAATTAAACTAAGGTGAATCAGCGGGTGGTGAGGTGTGGAGCTTACCATGTGTGGCATGCCATCACAGGGATACTGTTTGTCCATGATTTGGAGAGCCCAGCGCTGCTTCCGACGACTACCTTGGCACGTGTTTAGGTAAACCCAAAGGGAAGATGTGCTTCACTACATTTTCTAGTCTTTGGCTTGGAATGAAGTTGGTTTGGAAACATTTTCAGTGATGCTTCATCTCCTGCTTTGCGTTTGTGTGGGAACCTTGTCAAAAATCTGTCCATTATGCTAGCAGTGTCCAAGCGTTCTTTTTTTCTTCCTTTCATCTTCCCCTGCACTTCAGTATTAATATAAAAAAACAAAGCAAAAAAAATTGACCTTGCAGTGTTGACACACGTGTCCATACAAACACTGTAAGGTGTGATGGGAAAAAAATAATTTAATAAAGAAACAATTAGTAAACTATATTTAAAGTAAAGTGAAGCGACTAATGGTGAGGTGTGGAGATTCCCATGTGAAGTTTTAATGAGGTCAGAGTTTAGTGTGTACAGTAACCTCTGTGAGCAGACTGCAGTAAACACATGAACTCAGTTCTCACTCAGTTTAACAAGTAGAAACATAGATCACTGTATTCAGAGCATCTCTCATCAGTGAATTACAAGCTAATAATGAAAAAGTAAGAACAAGAGAAGAAAAACCATTTGTGTGTTTAGGAATGTGTTATGATTTATGAAAGAAGATGACAGACGTCAGAGGGAGGGAAACTTGAGCTTTATTAGCTGGAAGTCAAAAATCAAAATCAGACTGTTTTTCCAGCTCCACTTATGACCAAAGAGTCATTCAAGATGATATGGATATGAAATGGATGATAAGAAAATTGAATGAAATATCCATGATGATATATTATTGGAGCTTAAGATGAGTGTCAGACATTATTACTAGTTCAGGGAAAAATTCGCAAAAATATTCATAGTTTCTTCACTTCCAACAACAGTTTTGTTTGTAAGAATGTGTGTGTAAGAATGGTTTCCTGTCTGAGAGGTACTGTGTATAAAGGTCCAGCAGGTGGCAGCAGAGCAGTTTCAGTTTGTCCAAGAGCGCCTGATGTTTTTTTTCTGAACGTTAACATCATAGGAGAAAAAGAAAATATTATATTTTTGGTAAATTTCCAGTGTGAGGGGTGGAGGCTGCCTGCTTTCCTTGGATTTTATAGGACGAGGAACAGGACTGTAAGATGCTGCTGCCTCCACTATGCTTCAGGCCTGAAATGCAGACTTACAGAAAGTGTCCTTAAAGGGATCAAAACATCTGTCATTACTTTCTATGTGACAGCAGGACAGCACTGATCCATCAGGGCTCACTCACTGAACCATGTTCAGTGAGTTACAAAATGATACAAACACACATTTCAGTTGTGATGATTTAAATGATTTAACCAATGCAGTGAGGCCCTTTAATTACTCGTTTTTTTAAGATTCACTGCCATAATTTGTCTGATCTCTATGTGCAAACTTAATTTATAATCCCATGTTTATATAAAGCCTCCATGACTCTTAAAAATAATATAAAATAATCTTCAAATCCAAATTGCTGAAAAACCTTGAATGACACAATTACTCATATCCAACCAAATGACTGTTATTAAATACGTTTCTGCCATAAATCCAGATTATTCCTCATTCATTCAATATAATATAATAAGAGTTCTAAGCTATTCAAAAGACAGGTGCAAATATTTTGGTGTCACTATTTAAAGACTGGCTGCTCTCTAGTTTTCTTAATTTATGCGTCTTTGGTTTGCAGCCATTGGAGGGCTCCGGTCCAGCCCATCAACTGTCTCTCTCTGACTGTGTGGAGTTACAGAGCTGTTCTCTCACTCAGGGACTTTCAGCTTCATCTGAACCTCAAAGTTCATCGCATATAGTCTCGTCTGAAGCTCAGATTCTGATTTTAATACAGAAGCACAGAAATGTCTGCTGGAACTGCGTCACTCTGCTATTATTTCCAATTTTTCAGCGTCTTTGTGTTTGTCTCAGCAGGTGAGATATACTGTTAGAAACTGAACATTACATGTTAATAATGTGTGTGAAAGTGACACAAGGTTAGATAGAGTCTGTGTGGATTTAACATCTGTAGTCCAGAGAAGCGGGCTTAATCTGTGCTCATGAATATTTTGTACTTGTAAATCAGATGTGCATTTGTGAACTGAGTTTTGTAACATTGTAAACCAAAATATCTGAAAACATTATGTTTGTGCATCTACGAATGAGAATTTGTGTGTTTTTTAAAAATATTTACACAAGTTACAAAGTTTTTTTTGTTAAGGTCTGTTTACAGATACAAAGCAAAAAACTACGTGTGAAACTGTGCTCAAGTTTCCTGTTTGTGTGTCAGTTTCAACTTACGAGTATGAACGTCAATGTGATTGTCATGTCAATCACAAATGTAACAATCCAATCAGAGAAGAGAGAGGCCACACAATCCGCATGTCTGTGGATTTCACCATTAAAAAAAAGGAGAAAAGAAGAAACTACTACTAGGATTTCATGTTTTTATGTGATTTCAGATCAGTGTTACTACAGTATGTCAATGAAAAAAACAACTGCACATTCAAGTGAGGTTGATCTGAAAAGAATGATACATGCAAGACAAGGAAAACAAAAAGTAAAGTAAAAAGTAGTCAAAAATGGTCAGTTATATTTTGGACCTCAGTGGGTTAACCCAGCAAATCATGGAAAATTAAGTTTCCATTTTTGTTCATGACAGTACAGATTTCTGATATTTTGTGTAAATTTAAGCAACAGTTAGATTATTTCTAACAAAAAAAGAGGGAAACTGAAGTTAGATTTGTGTTTGTAAATGAACCGTGCTGCGTAGCTTTCTGGATTTTATACTTATTTATTTACTATAAAGGAGATACAGTTCATCTGTCAGGATCCTGGGTCTCCTGATCCAGAGTTTTTAGTTCTTTGTGATTCTTGTATTTTGTACTCGTGTGATTTATTCTATGGTTTCTAGTTTTGATCCCTTGCCCTTCATGTTTCTCTGTCCCCCCTCTGTTCTGTGTAAGTCTGTGTTTCTTGGTCAGTGTCTTTGCATGTTTTGAGTTTCTTGTGTTTTCTGTCACTCTGTGTTGTGAATTATGTTCTCATGGTTGGTCTTTTGTTGCTCCCTCGAGTCTAGTTTCTTGTGTTCCATGCTGAGTATTTCCCTCTGTGTATTTTGGTTCTTAGAGTCCTCTGCTTTATTGTTTGTCTCTGTGTTTCTTAGTTGCTCTGTCTCCCCCAATCAAGTCTGCGTCTGTGCTACTTCCTGTTTTACTTTGAAGGTCTGGGTCTCATGTGAGTGTATCCTACTTTGCTTCCTTGTCTCGTCAGTTCTGATTTCTCCCAGCTGTGCCCTCCTTCTGTGTCTCAATCCCCTCTTTACTTCCCAGTGTATTTAAACTAGAGTTGGATGTCTCAAGACCACTTTTACGTGGTCTTGGTCTTGTCTTGGTCTCGACGGACTTTTGTCTTGGTCTTGGTCTCGCTGTTTCGGTCTTGCGTTCTCAAATCGACATAGTGTTCGGGAGATTTGGAGTCAACCATCAGCGGAGTGGGGGGGTGGCTTACTGGGCTTAAGCCCGGGTCATTTTTTCAGAAGCATGGGGTCTTTTGGAGTGTAATTTGTTAGTTAGATGCCTGACTGACAACTGTATAAAACAAAAACAACACACGAAGCACAGAGCGCACCGTCGTAAATTCCCCCTAATTTTGGTATGATCCGAGCTCAGGCACTAGGCGACTGATGTTGTGTACATCAGTACACTTGTTGTGTACTGATGAACACAACAATGGACATAAGGAGCTTCTTTCAAAGAAAAAACTCAGGTAGATGTTATTTTATATATTATGCTTTGGATGTTGTTCAGTATATCTATGCAAAACAAGAGGAATTTCAATACACAGCAGTATATTCACAGTTGAAACCAGATATTTACATACACTTTATGGAGAAAACATAAAAACTTTTTTTTACTGTTAAACATCAATTTAGAGTAAACTTTTGTTTTAGATAAATAAATGTTGAAATATCTTTTGAATTAGTTAAATGTCAGAATAAAAAGAGGGAGCTGTCTATTTTAATCACTTTCATCAAATTTAGGAGTACATATACACTAAGTTTATTGTTAATTAATAAGAAAACTCCAGACGATTCCATTCTGAGCTGAAGAAGCTTCTGATAGGTTAGTAGAGTCCATGTGAGTAAATTGGTGGCACAGCTGTGGATGCATATAAGGCAAAACACAGAGCCTGTTTCTGTGACATGGGAAAATCAAGAGATGTCAACCAAAACACCAGGAAAAGAACTGTGGAGCTCCATAAGTGTGGCTCAATTTTGAATACAATTTGGTGCCATTTACAATTAAGAAATACAGATAGTTTCTCTCTTTACTCTTAAAGTTAACAAATATGTTTTTTATATTTATCAATCTAAAAAAATAAACATTTAGTCTGATTTGATGTTACAATTAAAAAAGTGTTTGTGTTTTTATCTGAAGAGTACA